AGTGAGGGTGGGTGGGCTCTCAGCGGCGGGGGGTGCGCCCAAAGAGTGAGGCAGCTCCCCTCCGCCTGCACCAGCACCAGCGCCTAGCCGAGGCAGGGTTCCCCTGCTAGCGGGGCTCGGGGACCACGCCTCAACGGAGGCGGGCCCCGTCGCCCCAGGCGGCCCCCCACTGCATACAGGCGGAGGGCCCGCATCCATGTTTTTCCCAGGGGTCGGCATGTCTGTCGGTAGGCGAAGTTGACAGACCCCCAAGGGCCTTATCATTATCCTTATCCTCCTCCTCCTCCTCCTCTCTAGGCCTCCTAGATGGGGTCGGAGTAGATGGGGCCGGAGAATCTCACGTCGGCGATGCATCAGCGATGCGGCTCGATGCGGCGCACAATTAGCTCCATGCCGACGTCGCCGGTACATCGCCGACGTCGCAAATGCATGGCCGATGCATCGCCGATGCATCGGCGATGCATCGCCGATGTATCGGCGATGCGGCGAGATCCCCCGACCCCATCCACTCGGGCCCACTGCACTCTAGGGGGCCTCTATCCTCCTCCTCCTCCTCCTCCTCCTCCTCCTCCTCTTCCTCCTCCTCCTCCTTCCTCCTTCCATTCCTTTTCCGTATAAATAATTTCTCCTTGTCGCACCCCGAGGCAAATGTTTAGGGCGGACCGGGCTTTTCACCTGAGGATTCCCCACCGTTTATAATTCTGAAGCTTTAGAAGGCGACAACAGCTTCACAGAAGGAGGGCGGGTGGTTATCAAAACTTGGTTCTCGCATTAGCCCCGCGCACATTTGCTTTCAACATTTGCAAGAGCTTCACGGATTGAGGGCGGGTCTTTTTCAAAATGTGGTTCTCGCCTCAGCACCGCGCACATTCAAACTCAAAATTGCAATAGCTTCACGGATTGAGGGCGGGTGGTCTTCAAAATGTGGTTCTCGCCTATGCGCCGCGCACACTCATTATCACAATTTGCAAGAGTTTCACGGATTGAGGGCGGGTGGTTTTCAAGATGTGGTTCTCGCCATAGCGCCGTGCACATTCGTTTTAAGACAATGCAAGAGCTTCACGGATTGAGGGCAGTTCCTTTCCAACATGTGGTTTTCGCTTTTGCGCCGCGCATACTCGCTGTCAAAATTGCAAGAGTTCTACGGGTTCCCATGATCAACGCACCAGTAATGGTGTTTGGGAAGGATTCAGGATTACGCGGGTGCAACGGTTATGATGATTCGCGATGTTGAGCTCCCAAAAATGCCGCTCTGGCACAATTCCGGATTGTCAAGACGCAGCAGGCAGGATCACACGTGGCGTTGGAATCCCGAGAACAATGTTTTGGCATGTTTCAGGGTCTTCAAACTGTTGTCATCCAACGCAGCAGTTCAATGGAAATGAGCCGTTGTATGGGGCCTATGAAGAGGGAGCTTGGAGGGAGGGTTAATTAATTCCAACATCGGTGACGACTATTGGGTTTCATTGGTAACCTTCTTTCTCAACCTCCTCCTCCTCCTCCTCCTCCTCCTCCTCCTCCTCCTCCTCCTCCTCCTCCTCCTCCCCCTCCTTATCCTACCAAGTCCTCCCTCTCCTCCTCCTCCTCCTCCTCCTCCTCCTCCTCCTTCTCCTGCTCCTCCCCCTCCTTGTCCTACCCATTCCTCCCCCGTTTCCTCCTCCTCCTCCTCCTCATCATCATCCTCCAGTCCTTCTCCTTCCAAGTTTTTCCCCCTGTCGCATCCCGGGGCCTGATTTTTGGGCGGGCCAGGCGTGTCGCCTGAGACTCCCTCACCACCCATGATTCTGAAGCTGAAAAAGTGACAACAATTTCACAGATGGAGGGCGGGTGATTTTCACAAAGTGGCCCTCGCCTTAGCGCCGCGCAAACTCAATTCAAACATTTGTAAGAGCTTCGCGGATTGAGGGCGGGTCGTGTTCCAGATGTGGCTCTCGCCATAGCGTTGCGCACACTCGCTTTCAAACTTTGCAAGAACTTCACAGATTGAGGGCGGGTCGATTTCAAAATGTGGCTCTCGCATTAGCGCCGCGCACATTCAAATTCAAATTTGCAATGGGTTGAAGGCGGGCAAATTTCAAAATGCGGTTATAGCTTTAGCGCTGCGCACATCCATTTTACGCATTTGCAAGAGTTTCACTTATTGAGGGCGGTTCATGTTCAAAATGTGGTTCTCGTCTTAGCGCCGCGTACATTCGTGTTCAGAGTTTGCAATAGCTTCACGGATTGAGGGCGTTTCCTTTTGAAAATGTGGCATTGGCTTTTGCGCCACGCGCATTCGTTTTCAAAAGTTGCAAGAGTATCACGGATTCCCAGGATCAACGTACCAGAAATAGCGTGTTGGAAATATTCAGGATTACGCGGGTGCAGCTGGTATGGTGATTCGCGATGTCGAACTCCCAAACATGGCGCTCTGGCACGATTCCGGACTGTCAAGACGCAGCAGATAGGTTCATACGTGGCGTTGGAACCCCGAGAACAATGTGTTGGCAATCTTCAGGGTATTCAAACGGTTGCCATCTAACGACGCAGCTCCCTCAATGGAAATGAACCGTTGTGGGGGCCTATGAAGAGGGAGCTTGGAGGGAGGGTTAATTCCAACATCGTTGATGACTCTTGGTTGTACACTGGTCCCTCTTCCTCCCCCTCCTCCCCCTCCTCCTCCTCCTCCTCCTCCTCCTCCTCCTCCTCCTCCTCCTCCTCCTCCTCCTCCTCCTCCTCCCCTCCTCCTCCTCCTCTCCTCCTCCCCCCCGTTCCTCCCCCTCCTCTACCCGTTCCTCCTCCTCCTCCTCCCCTTCCTCTTCCTCCTCCCCCTCCTTCTCCTCCTCCTCCTTCCTTCTCCTCCTCCTCCTCCTCCTCCTCCTCCTCCCTCCTCCTCCTCCTCCTCCTCCTCCTCCTCCTCCTCCTCCTCCTCCTCCTGTGGCCTCCAGGATAACTGTCCTGGTATCCCGATCCCGAGTAGCAAGAATAATAGTAACATCGCCCAGGGCAAGCATCCCAGAGGGGGTGCGAGAAGGCTCGGTGATCTCAGGTCTCCCTCGGATGCCGAAATCCAAGTTTGGTCCGAGCACTTTTCCCCTGTGCACTCCGAGGTGACCCAGGTAGGAACCCCTTCGGAAGGCCCGAAGAGGCCCTCGATTCTGAAGGCGCTCCCGCTTCTCGGGCTCCAGCTGGCCCAAGCCCAGCTCTTGGGGTCGAGAGCTCTTGAGGCCAGGACGAGGGCCCTGGCGGCCGGACAGCGGGGCCATGTGGCCTCCCAACTGGATGGCCTGTTTGACCCCTGATCGCTGGCTCCTCCCAGCTGCGGTTGGGGGGGAGCTGGGGTCGGGGGTCGGAGGGGTCCATAGGTTGTACCGAATGTATTGTGCATAACCTCCTCCACCTGCTCCTCCGCCTCCTCCTCCTCCTGCTCCTCCTCCTCCTCCTCTTCCTCCTCCTCCTCCTCCTCCTCCTCCTCCTCCTCCTCATCCTCATCCTCTCCTCCTCCCCCTCCTCCTCCTCCTCCTCCTCCTCCTCCTCCTCCTCCCTCCTCCTCCTCCTCCTCCTCCATCCCCTTCCTCCTCCTCCGCCTCCTCCTCCTCCTCCTCCTCCTCCTCCTCCTCCTCCGCCTCCTCCTCCTCCGCCTCCTCCTCCGCCTGCCCATAATGGGGTCCGAGTAGACGGGATCAATGGATCGCTCGGCATCGCCGATGCATCGGCGATGCGGCTTGATGTGGGTCTGGATTGGTTCGTTCCACGTCGACGTTGCCGATGCATTGCCGATGTACCGTCCATGTGGCCTGATCCTCTGGCCCCATCTGCTCGGGGCCCACTTGGGAGGCCTCAAGGCACCCCCGAGGGCGCCGAAGAGCTGCCTTACACCGCTCGGCCAGCTCGTCGCGGAGTTCCAGAGCCGCCTGGGCGCCACGGCCGCCGCGCACCGCGGCATGCCAGAGCGGCCGAGCGGCGGGGGTAGCGGCGCCGCGGAGGGCAGCGTTGCGCGGAGGTCCGACGCAGAAAAACGGGGCCGCTTTCGTTGAAGAGGAGAACATCAGCCACGCGCAGAGGGAGGTACAGTCGGACCGAGGTACAAGATCGAGGTCGGCTCGGGGAGGGTACCCTAATGTTTTTCGTGCTAGTTGGATGTTCTTGCGCATCCTGGGGGAGGGTACCCCCGAATGCTCTTCATTTTAGCCGGCGGGGGGTCTCATGTTCTTGAAGGATGTGATTCCGGCCTAGGTCTCGCTGTAGGAGCAGGCCCTCGACCTGCACCTTCTGCATTTTCCGCGCGGCAGGTGCCGCGCTGCCGCGGCCACCGCCGCGGCCCGCAGCGGTTGCCATTGTAGAGGCCGCATCGCGGCGGCACCTGCCGCGCGGAAGGTGCGGAAGGTGCAGGTCGAGGGGGGGCGTCTTGGAAGCACCCCTGCTTCTTAGAAGGCGCGGGCCTTTTTGTCGAAAGATTTAGGGCTGGCCCCTCTTGAAAGCAGGCTCCTTCTAAGAAACCTTCCCCCCGCCCCCGATGCGCGCCGCCAGAAAAAGCAGCGCACACATTACTTTACCTCTGGACGGTCCGCGCGGATGTCTTGGATCTCCGCCGGGGGGGGCCCCTGGCCGCGCCGCCAGCGCCGCCCCTCACGCGCCCCGCGCGCCCGGGAGGGGGTCCCACTTCAGCTCCGGGAGGTCCGCGCAGACCTCCACGAGTCTCCGTTCGTGCCAGTGCCCCCTCCCCTCTCGCGCCAGGCCGCGCGGAGGCGCCCTCGCCCCTTTGCGCAGCGTGCCGCGCGGGGACGGCCCGCGCGAAGAAGCCGCCGCGCGAGGGCAGGGTGTCGCCGTGCCCTCTCAGGCCAGCCACAGCTGGGGGAGCTGTGGTCCCTTACCCCCCTGGGGGACCCCTCGATTTCGACACCCCTCTCGAGAGATCGTCGACGCGACGGGTTCCCCCCGGGGGGTAAAGGACCACAGCTCCCCCAGTTGTGGCTGGCCGCCCTCTCGCGCCGGGCCCGCCTGTCGCTGCCGTCGCGCAGGTGGGGCGCAGGCCGCGGGCCCTGCGCCCCGCGGGCGGCCTCCGGCGCGGCCCCGGCGCGCGCGGCCTGCGGCGCGCGCGCCCCGGCGCGCGGCCTCGCCGCGGCGGCGGCGGCGCCGGGGAGTGCGCCCCCGCGGGCGGGCGGGGGCGCCGGCGCTGCCGCGGAGCGCACGGGCACGCTGGCGAAGGTCGGGTGTTGCTAGAGGTGCCCCTGGCCCAAGGTGCCCCCAGCTTTTTCGATCCCTTCTGGAGCCCCTGGGGCCCTCTGGGCCTCGTGAGGGGCGCTCCGGGGGCCGTTTTGGGCCACCGAGAGATTCCTGGGGGCACCTTGGCCCAGGGGCATTTCTAGCAACACCCGAGAAGGTGGTGCCGCACAGGGGCTTCGGCTTCCTCCGGCCGGACGGCGCGCGGGCGGCGGACGTCGAGGGAAGAAGCACGGGGGAGCACGGCCAAGGTTCAGGCAGGGTGCCTGGCATCGCTCGGACGTGTGCATTTTTTTCTCGGCGAGGACCTTCGAGGAGCATCCTCGACCATTTGGCGAAAAAACCACGCACGATACCGAAAAAACACAGGAAATGGACGTCCGAGCGATGGCCAGGGGGCGACGCGCCCTGGCTCGCCCAAGCAGCCCACGAAAGAATGTGCCACGAGCCTGTTGCAGGTTGCACGGAAATGGGCTGAAAGCCTTTCTGACTGGGCCCGTCTTGTTTCCACACCTCGGCTCAATGTTCTAAGAACTGGGTTTCTCTTTTTTGAACACGCTTGTGTTCTCGGAACATGTCGTGGTTGGCCTACTGGAATGCCGGGACGGTCGGTCTCTGCTCAAAGATGTCGCGGGATCTTGCCGATACGGACCTGGGATGTTGGTCATGGTCCATGTCGGCCGTCGTCGATTCGCGAGGGGATGGTCCACGAATTGGCGCTGAACAGGATCGACGCGACATTTCCCGCGCTCAGTCTTGGTCATGTTCCCGTGTCTTCCTCCCCAGGACGTGCTGCTGCATTGCTCCCAGCTTGCAGGGGGCGGGTTCGGGGACATGCGCGTGGGCGTGCGGGTGCGGTGCTCCGAGGAGGGCGAGTGGAGACCACGGCAGTTGGCCTGCGGGAGGGCCCCTCGCCGCCACGGCGGGACGCAGCTCGGACAAACACTGATGCACCGTGGACCCCCCAATGCAGCAGGGGTCCACAGAACCGATTTTGAGTTCCCTCCGTCTCACCTCGCCCTCCTCCGAGGTACGCGGAGAGGACGGATGCCCGAACTGGCAGGCGGCGGGCCACTGCCGCGGCGGTGGTGGAGCAGGGGGGGCCGGGCGGCGCCGCGAGCGGCGCGGCGCGCGGCGGTGCCGCCGGCGCCCGCTACAGCAGGGAAGAGCTCTTGACGGCCCTCGCCGTGATGATCGGGCAGCCCTCCCGTGGGTCACCCCGCCGCACGTTCTCGGTCGTCCGCGTTCCACCGGCGGGCTCGTCCGGAGGCGGCAGCGGCAGCAGCGGCCCGGGCAGAGCGGGGAGGCCGGGCGGGAGCCCCAGCGCGCCCCGCGCGAGCCTCGACGACGAGCTCCTCCTCGGGAGGCTGGAGCAGCGCCTCTCGAAGGAGTCGGGCTTCGACGACAAGAACGAGGAGACCTTCGGAGAGTGCGGCGGCTGGACCTTCGAGGAGGCGGTGGCCGCCAACGCGAGGCTGGCCGCCGCCCTCCCCTGCGGCCTGGGCGCCGCCGCGGGGCTGGCTGCCGCGGGGGCGGACGAGAAGCTCGGAGAAGCAACCGCTGCACAGACACACGCGCAGGCTCTGGGAGCTCCGCGCGGAACGCTTGGGTCCTGGGTCGGCGCGGGGCCCCGCCGCCTCGGGGGCGGCGCGCCGGGGGCGGCGCCAGCGGCGCGCCGCCAGGCGGGCCCCGCGCCGAGTGAGGAAGAGTCCGCGCGGAGCTCCGAGAGTGGCTGGTCACCGGCGACCCCGCCGCGGGCGATCAGCGTCGAACGCCGCCGCCGACCCTGCAGAGTCGGTGGACGTGGAGGGGGGCCGGGCGCTTCGGCTTCGGAAACCATGGATCGTCCAAGGGGGAACGGCCCCCACGGTGTCAGGAACTGACCGAGCATGTTCTTCGTGTGGAGGGCAGAGGGTGCAATCTGAAGTGCCGTTTCGATTGGTTGTCGATGCTCTACTCTCCAGAAGGTGAGTCACAAGACGGATTGGTTTTCGAGGTGCCAGAGCCCAGATGGATGTCACCCTGAGCCCTCCGACCTGAGAGGATGCTCAGACTAGCGCCGAAGTCGGCACGGCACGGACTCGCCGTGTGCAGTTGTTCCATTCTCTGGAAGCACTCCAGCTCAACGCTGGCGGGCAGCACCGCCGGCAGCGCCTCCAGCTCCGCCGGCCGCAGCCCCGGCGGGCCGTCCCGGGACGGGAGCCCCGGGGGCAGCCCGGCACTGCGCGCGGCGGAGGGCGAGGATCCGGAGGGAAAGGCAGACGCAGACACGAACAGACGCGGATCTCCGACGACGATTGCGAGGGCAGTGGAGCTGGAGGGGCAGACGAATCCCTTTTTCCGATATACGTAGCACCCCGCAGATGCGGATAAGAGTGAGGGGGAGGTGGGGACGTCGGCAGTGTGCGAGCCTCTGGAGAAGCCCGCCGCAGGCGCCAAAGTTTCACAAAGTATACAACGAGCCCACCACAAGCGCCGATTGTGTCGTTAAGCCAATGTGGGTAGGTCGCGGGTGGGTCGTTGTTCGGTCGCGGGTGGGTCGCGGGTGTAGAGGGCAGAAAATCCACCCCATAATAATCACCCCGACAAGCGAAGCCGTTTAGTAAACGCATACAAGGAACGAATCGAACAGGGCAGGGCTGTTTAGTCAACGCCCAGGGCCTTTTTAGTAAACGTCAAATGTCGGTCCGGGTGTTTTTTCCTCCCTTAAGGGTGGGTCGCGGGGTGGGTCGCAAGTGGGTCGCGGGTGGGTCGCGGGTGGGTCGCGGATGGGTCGCGGATGGGTCGCGGGTGCGTCGCGGGTGGGTCGTGGGTTGGGTCGCGTGTGGGTCGCGGGTGCGTCGCGGGTGGGTCGCCGGGTGGGTTGCGGGTGCGTCGCGGGTGGGTCGCGGGGTGGGTCGCGGGTGGGTTGCGGGGTGTGTCGCGGGGTGGGTTGCGGGTGGGATGACGACAACAAACAACAACAACAACAACAACAACAACAACAACAACAACAACAGCAACAACAACAACAACCACAACAACAACCACAACAATAACAACAACAATAACCACAACAATAACCACAACAACAACGACAACGACAACGACAACGACAACGACAACGACAACGACAACGACAACGACAACGACAATGACAATGACAATGACAACGACAACGACAACGACAACGACAACGACAACGACAACAGCAACAACAACACCAACAACAACAACAGCACACATAATCATCACCACGAGTTTTTTTTATTCAGCCACGCACCCAGGGACAATGAATGACCGTTCGGCCCCCTCACTCTGATCCACAGCAAACAAAAGATGTGGAATCATGGAAAGTCAGGAGGGGAAAAAACGCGCAGACCGAATCAATCGTCGACGTCCAGGAAGATATGGGAGAATATGGGAAGTAGGGTTGAGATGAACACCCTGGAAATATGGGAAAGATGAAGACTCCTGGGATTTGTGTGTATTTATTTGTGTGTCCCTGGGCCCCTTGGAGAAGGTGTGCCTACCTTCAAGTCGGGCGTGTCCCGGAGGAATATTCAAAAATAGTTTTAAACGTAGTCTGGGGACGGTTGTGTGGCTATCTTTGCTAATTTGTTTCATAGGTTCTGACTATTCTTTATTTCTCGTCTAAAATCCGCCTGTGTAGGAGGACATGCCCGACCCAAGCCTGCCTGTCTGTGTCCTCTTGGGGGCCACCTCCCAGGAGCACCTGCCGCTCTACGTGCTCGCGGGCCTTCAACTCCAGTAAGCCGCCGCGGCGGCCCGGCGGGAACGCGCCCGCGCAGCACTCGGCGCCGCGCGTCTAAGCCTCCCAAGTGGGGTCGGAGGATCCTGCTCCTCCTCCTCCTCCTCCGCCTCCTCCTCCGCCTCCTCCTCCTCTCCTCCTCTTCCTCCCCCCTCCTCCTCCTCCTCCTCTCCTCCTCCTCCTCCTCCTCCTCCCCTCCTCCTCCTCCCCTCCTCCTCCGCCTCCTCCTCCTCCTCCTCCGCCTCCCCATCATGGGGTCCGAGTAGACGGGGTCGGAGGATCGCGCCGCATCGCCGATGCATCGCCGATGCGACTCGATGTGGAGCCCGATTTGCTCCACATCGACGTCGCCGACGCATCACCGGTGCATCCCCGATGCTTCGCCGATGCATCGCCGGTGCATCCCCGATGCATCGCCGATGCATCGCCGATGCATCGGCGATGCGGCGCGATCCTCCGACCCCATGAAATCCGACCCCATGTAGGAGGCCTCTAGCGAGGGCCCCGATCTCCGCCCATGGCTACAGTTGGTTTCCATCCGGGGGCCCTCGCAGATCTGGGCGCTGCCCTGTTGCCACGATCCGGGCGCCCAGTTGTCGCCCAGGCGCTCGGGCCCCGGGATGGCCCTTCCACGGCTCGGCCTGGCCCCCCCCCAGGGAAAGTGCCGCGGGAAGTGGGACGCCCAGGGCTGTGGGGTCGATTTTTTCTGATGTTGCACATCTTTCAGGCGGGGAAGAAACACACCGACACAATGAATCGTCGATGTCCGGGAAAATACGGGGGAAATATGGGAAGTGGGCGGGACGACGAGAGGTCAGAAGATATGGAACAGATGGGGAACTCCTGGATCTGTGTATATGTCTTTGCGTGTCCCTGGGCCCCTGAGCTCCTTTTCTCCAGCGTCAGATCTCAGGGGGCCTCTGCCCGAGTTCGGCCTCCCCACGTGGGGCACCGCGAGCGGCCTCCCGGGAGACCAGCGCAAGAAGCGGGCCCGCATGAGGCGGAGCGCTGCCCCCCGGAGGAGCGGTCAGGCCCACCGCCTCGAGCCAGGGAGCGGCTGCAGAGGAGGAGGAGGAGGAGGAGGAGGAGGAGGAGGAGGACGAGGAGGGGAAGGGGGAGGAGGCGGAGGAGGAGGAGGAGGAGGAGGAGGAGGAGGAGGGAGGGAGGAGGAGGAGGAGAATGACAAACAGATGAAACAGTACCAGCAAAACGAAACTAGGCCAAACGCCTAGGCCAGAACAAAGGCTATCGACACTCCTCGGCAGCCTGGGCTTCGCGAGCCTGCAGGCGGGCTCGGAGGGCGTTCCTCCCAGGGGTGCTTATAAACCCTGCGGAATAGCTGTTTGACGAGGTCCCGCCCGACTCGACCGCCCACCCAATCGCCCCCTTCATCAAGCGCAGATCCGCCTCCGACGCAAGAGCCACCTTTTCATGACGCCTGCGGTGCTGCGGATGCTGCCCACTCTGGAGCCGCCGAAACTGATAGGCCTCCGGGCCGAGATGGCGCGGTCACACCGCTTGACCAATAAAGGTCCTATGCGCTCTTTCGCAAAAGCGCCACTTTGAACGCAGTAGATTAGAGGGCGCGATCGCTTCGTCCACGCGGCCTGCAGGCTGTGACGGTGGACACTCTCGCTGCCACGCAGCTGACGGAGGACTGGAGGAGGACCAGGGCATTGCATGAAAGCCAGGTCTGGCCCAGCCTTGGCTAGACGAAGACACCGAGCACACCTCACCTTACCCTCGCCCACCGGAGACCACACAAGCCACGACGCCTCATGGGTGGTGCTCGGCGTCTTACTTCGCTTGAAAGTGGGGAGCGGGAACAGTGGCAACACATTGGCCACCAGATTGGCAACAGCCCGTAGCCTCTTGGCCATCAGGCTCATGGAGGAGGAGGAGGAGGAGGAGGAGGAGGAGGAGGAGGAGGAGGAGAAGGGGGAGGAGGAGGGGGGAGGAGCAGGAGGAGGGGAGGAGGAGGAGGAGGAGGAGGAGGAGGAGAGGAGAGGAGCAGCAGCAGGAGGAGGCGGAGAAGGAGGAGGAGGAGGAGGCGGAGGAGGGGAAGGGGGAGGAGGGGAGGAGGAGGAGGAGGAGGAGGAGGAGGAGGAGGAGGAGGGAGGAGGAGGAGGAGGAGGAGGGAGGAGGAGGAGGGGAGGAGGAGGAGGAGGAGGAGGGGAGGAGGAGGGAGGAGGAGGAGGAGGAGGAGGAGGAGGAGGAGGAGAGGAGGAGGAGGAGGAGGAGGAGGAGGAGGAGGAGGAGGAGGAGGAGGAGAGGAGAGGAGGAGGAGGAGGAGGAGGAGGAGGAGGAGGAGGAGGAGGGAGGAGGAGGAGGAGGAGGAGGAGGAGGAGGAGGGAGGAGGAGGAGGAGGAGGAGGGAGGAGAGGAGGGGGAGGAGGAGGAGGGAGAGGAGGGGGAGGAGGGGGAGGAGGAGGAGGAGAGGAGGGAGGAGGAGGAGAGGAGGAGGAGGAGGAGGCGGAGAAAGAGGAGGAGGAGCAGGAGGAGGAGGAGGCGAGGAGGAGGAGGAGGCGGAGGAGGAGGAGAGGAGGAGGAGGAGGAGGGCGGAGGAGGAGGAGGAGGAGGAGGAGGAGGAGGAGGAGGAGGAGGAGGAGGGAGGAGGAGGAGTAGGAGGAGGAGGAGGAGGAGGAGGAGGAGGCGGAGGAGGCGGAGGAGGAGGGGGAGGAGGAGGAGGAGGAGGAGGAGGAGGAGGAGGAGGAGGAGCTGGTGTGCCCCTGAGCTCCTGGCGTTTCCATTTTTTGTTTCCCAGCGGGTGCTGTCGCTCAAGGTCGGGAGCCCGCGGGGGCCTGGCGTTGAATCTCTGCTCGCGCTGGGCGTGTTCGCTCAGCGTCGGGCCCCCGGGATCTTCACGGATCGATCCGGCTCGAAGCACGACGCAGACAGAAAGGGTCCGGGGCTCCGGGCGGGATTTTTGTTCCGATGATGTCGATGTTGCACGTGTTGTCCAGCGTCGGATCTCAGGGCCCCCCAAAACTGCTCCTCGCCGCGGGCCTGCGAAGAGTGCGTGGGCTGTTCCGGAGAGCTGCGCTTCGCGAGAGCCTTGCGGCCAGAGCCGCCGCCCCTGACGGCTGGACCTCTCCCCCCCCCCCCAGGGCCGCCCGCGACACCCCTGGGACCCTCCCCCCCATGGGACCCGCTGGGGCCTCGGGGGGAGGCGGCATGCTGACCCTGGGCCCACCGCCCCCCCGTTGGGGAGGGAGAAAAGGGCATGGGGATCGACCTGACTGCGACGTTGCTCTGTTGCTGAATGTCCTTGGGACTGGCGACGACGACGACGACGGCCCCGACGACGACGACGACGACGACGACGACGACGACGACGACGACGACGACGGCGACGACGACGACGACGACGACGACGACGACGACGACGGCGACGGCGAGGGCAAATCCCTCCCGCACACGCCACAGGGGCGGCGGATCTTTCGTAGATTCGGCGGACAAACTAACGTCTGGGGTATAAATCAATCCTGCAGCCGATCCTCTGCTCGATTCAGGGGCCCGCGGGCCGAAGAAAAAGCACGCTGGCAGATTTCCGTGGAGCTCCGCGGCAAGGTGGTGCGCGAGGGGGGGGGGCGGCCCTCTCCGGAAGCAACCAGTCAAGGTTTCTCGGAAGGCACGGGGGGGGGCTCTCACAGCCAACCCTTCCCGGCCTCTGGGCAGGCGCCTCAGAAGTTGAGCCCTGCCGGCAGGCCCTCGCCTTCTCGGAAGCCCTTCGCCGTCTGAAAAGCCCCCTGGCCTTGCGTCGGGCATGTCCCTCGACAGGAGGAATGTTCAAAAATGGTCCAAACATAATCTGGGGACGATATTTGCTTATGTTTGTCACTCTTTTCGAGTATTCGTTTGGCTTCTTTTATATTTCGTCGAAAATCCGCCTGTAGGGGGACATGCCCGACCTAACCCTGGCCTTCCCAGAAGGCCGCCATCCTCGGGCCACCCCCTTTGACGCGCGCTCCACCGAGGCACGCGGGGCTGGGGCGTGTCACACACCTTCGCGCTGCCACCTGCACTATATCGCAGGCCTATAGAGGTCGACACCAACACCAACAGCGGAAGTGTGCCTCCACCCAGGGAAGAAGATCCCGATCTCGGCGATGGTGGTATTATTCTGACTTCCGGGGTCGCCGAGATATATCTATATATATACATACATACATACATATATACATACATACATACATACATACATACATACATACATACATACATACATACATACATATACATACACACACATACAGAGAGATATCTATATTATACCACCGCCAACACCGAAATCTAGGATCCTCCTACCCTTGTGGAGACAACCCCCTGTGTTGGTGTTGGCGCCCATTTCCTCGCCTCCACCACCTAGCCGGACCTGGCGCAGCCTCGGGGCCGACTGACCCATGCGCCTTCGCGGCGTCGGGCGCCAGCGACGCTCCCGCTCCGCCCGCGCCGGCCCCGCTCCGGCACCCCGGCGGCGCACCCCGCCACTGCTGTATGCCCGGCGCAGCTCGAGCCCGAGACAGGGTGGCTATAGCTCGGGGGCGGAAAAGAGGGGGGTGATGACTAGGGGGGGTGGATATCATGGCGGGGACCATGATATTTCCCCAGATTTCATGGCGCCTCTTCTAATTTCATTACGTCCCTGGCCCCCCCGCTGGGCCGCGCACATGCCGCCCGTCATGATTTGCACCCCCCCTCTTGGACACCCCCCTCTTGGCCGCTCCCGGTAAGGGGGCCCGGATAGTGGTGGACCCCTGGGGCCCCTACACAGGCCAGGATCACCAAACCAGGTTTGCCATAGCTAGTGTTTGTGTCGGGAGACGGCAGTTCCGGTCAGTGGAAATGGGGGGGGGCGCCCCCAGTACAGATCACTAAACCAGGTTCCATTAAACCCAGTTCTGCCAACGCCCGAACAGGGTGGTTCTATCAATGTCTCGACATCGCTCGGACGTGAACGCTTCTCTCGGCGAGGACCATCGGGGACCGCCTGGGCTCGTCCTG